GGGCTGCGGGTCCCCAGGCGGCGCCGACCCTCTTCCCGGAGGCGAGCCCGGGGCTCAGGTGCGGCTGGGGCCGCCGCGGGACACTGGGGACGGGAAGGGGCGTCTGGGCTGGGCACCGCTGCCGATCCCCCAAGTCTGGGGTGCCGGGTGCCCGGGCCGCGGGGCCCAGAGTGGGCGAGCGGAACTGGCCTCCGGTGGGGTAGGTGCGGCGCGCAAAACTTCTCCCCGGGCAGCGCCGGCTCCGCCGAGTTGCGGCCGACAACAAAAGCGCCAGCTTCCGCGGCCTGGCGGCGGGCGCGCGGCTGCGATGAGAATCTGGCGAGGGTGCGGGCAGCCGCCTCGCCTGCCTCCGCCTGGCACGGGCGCCGGCTGCGCCTCCCGCCGCGGGGAGAGCGGGGAGCGGGCCGAGGGAGAGCCGCTCGCTCGCTGGCGCGGGGCTTTGTGCGCGGAGCCTCTCCGGCTCCTGCGCAGGCCCGCGGACCCCCCGGGCCCGGGCCGCAGCTGTGGGTCGGGCGGCGGCCGGGTGGGCCTTCCCTGAAGTGCCTGCGGCCCCCTCCCCCTTTGTCCCGGCCTCGGGCTGTTTGCGGCTTCCAGGTTGACTTTTTAGGGGGTTGGCTCCTACTCTGCTAGGACGGTGTGCGCGGAGCATGCGCACTGGGGCCGTACGTGTGCGGAGTGGAAGGGGGGAGGTGGGTTGGCGGCTTCACAATGCCGCCCCACGTGCTGCGAGATTTAAAGAGAAATGAGCCAGCAGTCATCCCTGCTGTCCAACGCCCAGCGTGTGTCATTCTCAGTCCTGGCTGATCCCCCTCCTCCTCTTCCATCACTCCCGCCACCCCCCAACTCCTCTGACTATGAGCTCTTGGTCCTCGGGAGAAGCCAAAGGCTGGAATGAAGAAATCTATTTTTGAAGATAGATTTACTAAGAGTTTGAGGTGTTAGTTCAATCACTTCTCCGGCTTCATAAGGAAAAGGTTGTCAGGAGCTGTTACAGATTGTATAATTAGGTTTATTATTAGACCATGAGTTAGGAGGTTTGGACGAGTATTAAAGTTCTAGATGCCTGATGGGGGTGGAGTGGGGGGAGTGACTTGGATGTAGAACTTCTGAGAATACATACTACCCATCCGGAAGAATAGGAAAAACAATTAAGGAGGGAAGCACCTTTATTGCAGCTTGTGCTTGCAAACTCATCTTATTTTTGTTGTTTTGTTTGTTTTAGAGGAAGGAATTTCCGGTTTTGCTTCCCTAAGAATTCTTTTCATCAAAGTGGTTTTTATTACTGCGGAGTGATTAAGCAGTATTAAAGTACTAAGAAGTATTAAGGCAGTATTGAACGCTTACACTGGGGAGATAAACATTCTAAAAGATGTAACAGAAGTCAGTATTAAGAAAATGAGATGAAATTCGATCAGTAAACGTATTTAGCAGGAGCAGTATTTTAAAAATACCTTCCAGCTACTTGTCAAACATCTCTAGATTTTGATAGACACTTGATTCAGTTTTACTTCCTTTTTTTTTTTTTTTACCAAGACTGATCTCAAATAAAATTAAAATGCCTCTGAAAATTTCTGTAATAATAATGGTTGGCCTTCTGATAGAACACACTAAAATGTCCTTTAAGATTAGAAGAATGATTTTGTTTGTAATTTTTAAAGTCTTATTATAAAGTTAGATTAATGTGCCTTCTTGATTAGAAATGGTAGAACTAATCTTAAATTTTTGAAAATGTTGAAGTACTTTAGCATGCCCCAAATGTATAACATAATAAGGCAAGCCATTTTATTAGGTGAAATGTAAAAAATATTAAGTGTACTCAAAAGATGATAAGTACAACATAAAATAAAGGCCCTATTGTATTAGTGTTTGAGCTTTTTGGTTCTTCAGATGTGAGTGGTAAACTGTAATCTCTTGAAATCATTTAGAGAACTTTTGGAGCATTTAATAATAAGTGCTCTAAAGACCTTGAAGTGAATTTGACAGGCAAACCTGTAAGTCATTCCAGCTTCTAGAATTTCAAAAATGTACAACAATGGTCAACAGTGGCTACATTTATTGAGCCCTAGCCTGCCAGCCCTAGATTGTACTTCTTTTGCTTATGTGGAGATTGTAACTTTATAAAGAACCTGGATGCTTCCAGAGTTGTGAAAATGGCTCTTTGGTTTGCAGAGTTTCTCAGTCTTGACATTACAGGCATTTTGGACCAGGTTTCTTTGTGTAGGGGATGGTTAACAGTGTTCTTGGCCTTACCCACTAGATGCCAGTGGTACACATGCACTGTGACCACCAAAAGTGCCTGCTTTGCCAACCTCTTATGCGGGTTAAAAGCAGTCCAGGGGAAAACTCAGGGGTTTTAAGTAAGGTGTCTGGCTTAGTGAGAATGAGTATTAGTGAGTAATGGCTATAGTGAAGAAAGAAAGAACATGCAATTAGATGTTTTGTATTTTTCTTTGCCACTTATTGGAGTGACTTATTTCTTTGCAAATTGAATAGTTATTCCATTTTTGCATTAAGTGCTAAGAAATTTTGTGACACAAGGAGCAACTCTCCAAAAGTGATTAAAAGTGCAGAGAAAAAAGGTACAGTGATTAAAAATGTCTTTTCATAATTCTGACCTCAAATTGCTTTTGTGTGTTTTACCAGAAATAATTGTCATTTTTTAATGTAATTTCAGGGAGATTTTGGTATGTAGATTTATATGTGTAGAATTTACTGAGGATAACATTTGCCAAACATTGGACTGAGCATTTTGCCTATGTGTTAATACTGATTTCAAGTTCAGAATCTTTTGCTGTTAACGACTATTGTGAGATTCTTTTTTTGTTTTTTTTAACATTTTATTAGGGGATCATACAACTGTTATCCCAATCCATACACACATCAATTTATTGTGAGATTCTTAAGATGATCATACAAAGTCCATTTCAGCCATCGCCAGTGTAAGGCCATTATTCTGTAGAATCAGGGAAAATACCTTTGAATTTAATACCGTAAACTGAAAATAGTGCTTAATAAGGGTTTTGGTGTTGGCAGTTAACCCAGAGGCAAAAAATTTTGGATTAATTTAATTACACTTTTCCCCTATCCTAGGCTTAGTGGTGGTTATGCCTGAGGCTGTTAACCACAAGATAGTAGTTTAAAACCACCAGGAGAAAGACTAGATTTTCTACTCCTGTAGAGTTAATCTCAGAAATCCACAGGGTCACTTCTGCCTGTCCTATATGGTGGCTATGAGTAGGAATCCACTCAATGGCCATGAGTTTTTTGTTGTTTTTTTTTAAGTTATCAGTCTTGCTCCTTAAAGGTTTACAGTCTTAGAAACCCTGTGTGGGGTCGTTTCAGTTTGGAATCAGCTCACTCACTGGTGATTGATTTTGGGTTTAACCAAGAAGCATTTATGTGGAATAAAGGTTTTTGTTTTTTTTTAAAGGACATTTCAGAACACAGTTTTCATTAGTTAAGCTTTTGTAGGCATCTGTCATTCTGGAAGTAGTAGAATATATGCAATAAGAATAATGGAACTTTTGTTTGCTGTAGAAATCTTGATAATTGTGTATAAGCCAAGTTTTCCAGCACATTTTTAATGCAGTTTTCGTGGTAGGTGCGTCGACAGATCTTTGGGTCAGCTCATATTTGAGTATATACGGTAATCTGGAAAGTTCCAAAGCCTGCAACTCCCTGGCTATTCCTGTAAGCAGGTTACTGTAATGAATTGGGTATGTGTGTTGAGTGAATCAACTGGAGAGTCTTAAAAATAATGTGTTGATGGGGCCCAAGAAGCCAAAATTTACAGCAGCACTAAAGGCAATTGTGAAACTGGGGGTTCTAAGGTATACTATATAAAGGGTTCTAAGCTTTATTTTCTTTTTTTCCTGGTGGCCCCTCCTGCCAGCTATCCCTGTTTCTGGTTTTTGTGAGGGGCTGTTTTCCTTAGCAGCTGAAATGTATTAGTCATCGACTCAAAGAATATTCTTCTAGGATGAGTTAGGAAGATTTAATGCTTCCTATTGGTTATCTAGGAGACTTGGTGGCATAGTGGTTACCATCAGTTGGGCTGCTAACTGCAAGGTCAGCAGTTTGAAGCCAGTAGCCATTCCTTGAGAGAACAAAAAGATGGGGCTTTCTATTCCTCTAAAGAGTTACAGTCGGGAGGGAGGGGGATAAAAACAAGGAGCTGATACCAAGAGCTCAAGTAGAAAGAAAATGTTTTGAGAATGAAGATGGCAACAAATGCACAAATGTGCTTGAAACAATGTATGTATGTATGGATTGTGATAAGGGTTGTGTACGAGCCCCCGAAAAATGATTAAAAAAAAAGTTACTGTGAGTTTGGTTTGTTTTGGATCAGGTATTCTGTAATATATCAGCATTCTGACAAACAACCTGATTAACAACCTTAAACCTATGGAAATAATTTGCTAGCCAGGGACACACCCTAGTAGCGGCAGATTCTATTCATTGTTGTTGACCCACATATTCAGAAATTGAGACAGTCTAAAAGTAAATTTGCTTTGCACCAAACTTCTAGTTTGGCACTTTTTTGGATACATAGGCATCATTATACTGTTGCAGAAGCAATGTAGCAACTACTACATATTATACTGAATGTCTGACCAAACCATAAACCAAACTCAACTGCCACCAAGC